TACTGTGGCTTTGATTCAGATTAAAAAGTTTGCCTCTGTTTATTTGAACTAAAATTCAAGACATTGCCCTCTGAAGGCACTTTAAGAGTAGAGCTCTCAGGATTAACTCAGACTTTTCTTGTTACAATAAATGGATGAGAGAAGCTGCTAGACTGTATCTTCTGGTTATCTACATTTTAAAAAGCACATGAAGCGTATTTACAGGAATTACCACTACATTTTTGCTCCACACAAGGTCATCCAAATAGGAAATTACTTTCAAGAACTAATTTAATCTCTCCTCTCCCCAGCCAAAATCTTCAGTAGAAATATAAACGACCAGACCCTTAGCTGTGGTTAAGCATCACTCACTGCAGCTGTGAGTGAGGAAGGGGTATGAAAGTACATTTTGTGATCCTTTCCCAAATCCTATGGCTCTCTGCCTGCTAAGTCAGATGCTGGTCTTGATAAGAGGAACCTTAGCACTGCTCAAATGTATGTTGTCTGGGAAGGACCTGAACAGACTCTTTTGGCAGCCATGGAAAGATGCAATGAAGGAAAGCCTCAATCATGTCCCCGACACTGGTAGCTGGGAAGGTTTGGTAAGGAAGCTGTCACACCTGAGGGAACCTTCCCATGTCCAGTTAGATTTGCTTTAAGGATACTACATAGAACTGGAGCCAGAGCAGTACAATGATGCAATCAGAATGCAGAAAAGGATCTAATCCAACATTTGGGGTACATCTAGACTACATGGCTCCGTCGACGGAGCCATGTAAACTAGTTTACCCAGCACAGGCAAAGAAGCGGGGATTTAAATAATCCCCTCTTCATTAAAATAAACATGGCCGCCACTCTGTGCCAACAATCAGCTGGATCCGGCTCAGCGCGGTAGTCTAGACACGGATGTGTCGGCTGGGGAAGCCTTTGCCAACCAATCCTGTAAACCTCGTTTCACGAGGCATAAGGAATCGGTCGGCAAAGGGTTCCCCAGCCGACAGATCCGCGTCTAGACTACCGTGCTATGCCAGATCAGCTGACCGTCGGCACAGCGTGACAGCCATGTTTATTTTAATGAAGCGGGAATTATTTAAATCTCTGCTTCTTTGCCTATGCCGGGTAAACTAGCTTACTTAGCTCCGTTGACGGAGCCATGTAGTCTAGACGTACCCCTTGTCTCATACGTCTGAGACTTGGGTACAGTGTAAAGTTAACTCGCCATACACCAAAAACATTTGTTCAGTTATCAGCAATGTCAACACAAATGTGTGCTTTGATGACAAACACACGGGCCATACCAAGTCATCAGACATGGTTAGAGTTCAAGTTCCTATGTTTTGACAACATAAGTTACATGTGAATGTATTTATTTAAATATTATGAAGGAGAAGATGATTTTGAAAGTCTGAGACAGTATCTTCCTGAATTTTATCTTTGATTTTTATAATAGAATTCATCTGAATCAGAGAATTAAGATTGACCTCTCAGTTTGAATTTTTCATGTTTTTCAAAATACGACTGAAGAAATATAAGAATGAAAGCACATTTTGATTTCTTAGTCATATACTTAACTATGGGTACACTGATTGACATCTTATATATAATATATAAAGATTGCTCAAGGTTATGTATGTCTTATTATTACGCAGATCTTTTCATATGAGAATTGTATGAAACCAACAGCACATGAAAAGTCACAGTGGAGAACTAATACTGGATACTGGAGAACTAATCTGACACCAGCTGCTAGTGTTTAGATGCAGCATTATCGCCACAAGAGAGCAAATGTGCAACCAGATCCATGTGTGTACTCTAGACATTATGCATTGGTAAAAGCAGATCAGAAACTAATTGTTCATATGCAATTGAAATATTAAGCTAATGGAAAAGATGATGGGAAAGCTGGCAGTGCAGATATCCCTTTACTATGCTGCTGGGACTAACAGACTTTAAATAGAGGTGTACGGACAGCCCCAATTAGGTGACAGAAAACTTGGAAGTGCTAGAAGTAACCCTTTACGGTGTAGAAGTTGATTTTCTCACCATAGCTTATTCTGGATACATTAAGATGAACACGTGTGGAAAGTTTGAAGTTTTTAAGTTTGTCAATCTATATTGGATATATTAGAAATATCTGTGAGTATGTAAAAGAACTCTTCTTAAAAGATAAGACCTAAGACCACCAAATTTGGTAGGCACATTCCTCTTAGCCTAACTTAAAGCAAGGTCAGGGTTTCGTTGTACCAGGAAAATGGGCAGTGCCTGGAATGGTACTGTTTTCCCTAACATGAAAATGGATGGGGCAGAGAGAGGAGGGATACTATATACTGGGGGACAGTAGATGTGGGGGACAGCTGTACTGCAGAATGACCACTGGAAGCAGCCACAATAGGCAGAGTGTGGCCAGCTGAGGATGTAGCTCCACATCCGGATAAGTAGCACCCCTGCCCCAAACCTCTCCCACCTGGCACAGAGCTGCAGCGCCACATAGGGGGAGCCCTGCCAGTCAGACACCCTGCCATGCCCCCTTCCTGCCTGGGACCACCTCCGGAGCTCGTCAGTGCAGCTCTGGCAGCTCCCACCTCCATGGGGCGGGCAGGGGGCATGAACTGCAGCCCAGCAGCCCCTCCCCGACCAGCTAACACCAGGCGGCAGGAACTGCAACCTGGAAGCTCCCTGTCCCCATGAGAGTGGGGCCAGGAACTATAACCCAATGGCAACCCCCACCCCTAGGAAACATGGAGGGAAGGAGAGCACATTTGGCCACCCCAGCCACACCTACCCTCTGGAGATGCCAGGAGGGTTCAAACAAAACACTTCCCCTGCCACCAGGACATGCTGGGGGGGTGCAAACCTTGGCCTGGAAGCCCCCGACTCTCAGAACACGTTGGGGGGCCATGAACCAGGGACAGGTGGACTGCTTGGCTCAAGCAGATGCCGGAGGGGCCAGGAACAGTAGCCTGGCAACCCGCCTGCCCCAATGAATAAATGCCCCAGGATACTTTAGGGAGGCTAGGAACCATGGCTCAGCAATCATTCACCATCCCCTGGAGATGCTGGGGGGGGGGCAGGAAGTTTGCAAATGATGCAAAAATTTGGGTAAATAATGAAGAAGACAGGTTACTGATATAGAAGAACCTGGAGCTTTTGGAAAGCTGGGTACAAATAATGTGTTTTAATATGGCTAAATGTAAATGTAGAAATCTAAAAACAAAAAGTGGAGGCCACAGAGATGTTCTAGGAATTATTTTAGGAAGTTGTATGGCCTGTGTTATAAAGGAGGTCAAACTAGATTATCACAATTATTTGTTTCAGTCCTGAAATCTATGATGCCAGTGCCAAAGATGTTGGCTGCTTTTTATGTTTCTGCTGGAAAGCAAGCCACTGTCTTTTGTTAGAAAAAATTAATGCAAAATAACATTTGATGATTTTTCAAATCACATATGAAGTGAAGATTTCCATAGGTGCTCATCACTAGCAGCAGAAAGGTGAACCATGATTTGAGGCACTGGCAAAACACATCTTTGCTTCAACTAGCAATGCTGTAGATGGAGCTGGGCAATTTGTAGTAGCTGACTTGCTAGACCATGTGTAAAATGTAATAGGGGGCCCAATCCTGAGAAAGCAATTACAGCCTAAGGAAAAGGCTGCTCATGTGAAAACTGCCATATCTTAGCATATGAAATCCTAGCCTCCAAAGTGAAAGCAAGTCCCAGACAGTCTTCAAAGGGGCTCCATTCGGCTACTGTAAGCTGAGATAGGAAGAGATGCTACCTTCAAGCCCTCCCAACCTCACCGATTGTTTTTCACAGAAAAAAGAACCATTTCTTTGACATGTCCTTCTCCATGATACCGTACAAAAACTTGCCATACAAAAGTCTCCTCTACAGAGAAGTCTGGTGCTGCACAGTCTCCTGGCATGCTAGCTTACTGGATTTTAATGGTGTAATTAGCACTATGTTTTGCCTGACAGCTGTGACCGGATATGGCATGTGCATGCACATGTATGCACACTTTTCTTCTCTCAACTGAATGAGTGAGTGAAGGGTTTGCTTCTCCTGTGTTCTATTATCCATAGAAAAAAGGACAAATTTGTGTTTCCCCAAATCAAAGTTCATTTCACGTTCAATTTCTTTAATGCATACTTATATTATATTCCATTTAAATATTAAACAGTTAAGCCTCGGGAAGGAAAGATTAAATATCCTGGTCCAGTGTGATTTGGACAGCACTGTTCATCAGCAGATTAGTTCAGCAGTACAAAGGGTTTGTTTAACAAGTGAGCAATGAAGGCTTTGACCATGTTTTGCTCTAAAACAAAAATAAAAAGCTCTCTTAAGAAACCTTAACATGAAACCATACCAAAAAGAATAGCTTACAGATTTTTTCATAATTCTATACACAGATACCAATATGTTTCTGACTGTGAAGCAGTATAGTTAAATAGTCTGCAGAATTTAACAATTTTCTTGCAAAATCATTTTACAGATGTGCTGAATTGTCACAGATATAATTAAGTGCTAAATGGGGGGGGGGGAAGAGAGGGCGCAAGGGCCTCTCTCACTGCTCAGCAGACCAACTTTTTGTATGGCATTTCTCCCTTCTAACCACTGTTCCCCTGACTTTTGCCTAGCATTTTTTCTGCTGTGTTCCAAGTGTCCCTTTCTTGCACAGCACACTGCTTCCTTATTCACTTTCTGACTGCCTGCATGACCCCGGCTTTGATGTTTGCCTGATGAGTCCTCTTCTGCAACACTATGTGCTATTTAGATTTTATTGACTTATTTCCTCCATTTTTTACTTATTTGGTATTTTATTTAAAAGATCTCCACTGAGAAACCTTGTATTCATTTGGAGCCAGAGTCTGCAGACTTTTACTCACAGAAGTATTCCTCAATCAGATGGAACTACTTCAATTACTATAAATTCTACATGATTCCTTGCTGGGCAAGGCATTGTAAGGTGAACACCACAAAATTCCCTATGGATGTTGCAGGGTGCATTTTGCATAAAACACTCACCTGTCAAATAGCTCCCCTCCTGTGACCAATTCCAGAACAAGACTGATTTCAGTGGGGGTTTCAAATATCTCCTTCAATTTTATCTGGAGAAAAATACCAAATAGAGTAATTATTTTCTCATTTCTCTCTTCAACCGCGTCTATGCACTATAGGATACTCTACCACAAACGTATTTTAGTAAAATGGAAGATGCTACTAACAATAATTACAAAGTTCATGCTTGTATCAGTTAAGCAATTAATTGGAAGTATTGTTTGTGGTGCCTAATTATTTGTTTTTTGCTTTTTTCCTCATCTGGGATCCTTCTGTCTTTCGTCCCTACATACTCACCGCTCATAACTCTGCAACCCTCTCTCAAACACAGAAAAATTAGAGACTGCTATCTTTACAGCACTTCAGCACATCTCCCTGAGTCTTACAGAGGAAGTCCCTGAAGACAAATGTAATGCTGATAGGTGGAATGTTAGTCCATGAACCTCTACCACATGAGTTAAAAGGAAGATGGCCCTCAGCTAAGGCTATAGAGCACACTCATTCTTCCTCTCTATAAGTGGTCTAAGTACCTCTACATGGAACAGTACACCATCTCTAGAAGGTGTGTGGGTTACACAAACACAAGGCATTCCCTTCTCTCCAGGGATTAATAACGATGACACTGCTAGCTGGCTCTATTTATCCTTTTTCTGCAAGGTTCCCCTTTAAGCAAAAGGCTTGTTTTTGTAAATTGTGTCTCTCTACATGGCAGAAACTTTAATAATTTACTTTAAAATGCAACTCTGACCTAGTGATCTTAGATAACGCCCCAGATATTTATTTGAAGCCTTTTTAGTGCACAAGGTGAGCTATAAAGATCATTACTGTGGTATGAGAAACTAAATACATTGTTAATGAGAGCCACACAGTGAAACACTGTAAAAATACCCACTTACAATGTTTGGATGTGAGAGGCGAAGGAGAACGCCTATTTCAGTTCGGACAATTTTCTTGTCTACCTGGTTAAAAGAAAAAAAGTTGTGAAATGTGTCTGTAATACTCATCTTAGAAACTTCTAACAGTATTACAGGAAAACCTCTATGAGCAGAATGCTAGATTTCTTAGGATAATGATCAATGTCTCTTGCACAACTCCAACAGCTTATGTTTCCTATGCATAGAAGAGAACCGGTCTCCCCATGCTCTAGAATAACGTAAAGTTTCTCTCTAGAACATTCACATTGCAGCAAGCTCATGAAAGACAAGCCTGAAAAAGAGGCTAGAGATTGTATTTGCTATTCTGCCCCTGTGTATCTCCATTACACCATGGGATGGATATAGCCCAGCACAACGTGTTTAACAGTGTAAGCCAGGTTAGTCAGGAAGGCTCCTTCACACATCGGTGGAGTTTATGCCTTTGTGGCATATTTTGCTATAAAACCAAAAGATGAATATAAAGGATGGCACTGCCTGGGCTCAACACCCCTCAACCAGAGCCTAAATCAAGGCATAAGGGTTGACTTGCTTCAGAGACACATCTAAAGCAGTGGTCTCTAGGAGCTGGTCATTCAATTCACTTCTGAGGAGGACCCTCCTCCCATTTGTTGCTCAACAACCACACTCTTCCCAGACCCGCTCTCTTCTTCCAGACTCAGTTTCCACCTTCCCTTATTACTTATAGAGTGTTTTAGTTTTAGCACATTTCACTTATAGCAACATTGAGGGCCAATTCCCCCACAGTTGGCCCAGCCCTACTGTGCTGCAAGGTCATTCAAGAGGACAACTGTGCTCCTCCTACTAGTCAGAGGACGAGGGCTAACCCCCTACCAGGCTTGGAAGGGGGAGGGCGCTGTGTACTGCATACTCAGACACTGAAGTGCACAAAGAAAAAATACCTTTTATGTTTGAAAATGATATGAGGTTTATTTTATTTATTTAATTAGGGTATAACCCAGGACAGGGATTCAGCCCACCTAACACTTTGATCTGGCCTGTGGGCTGCTTTCTATTTATATCCTGTTACCCATGCCACCGAATTTCCTGGAGGTGGCTCAGGCAGCAGGATCGTATTTAAATGGCTCACAGCTCATGGTCGTGGCACTACCCTGGTAGGGGCCAGAGCTGCAAGTCCTTTAAATAGCCACAGCAACTGTGGACAGCTGCCAGGCTATGAGGTAGCGGTGGGGCTGGCAGCTGTAAGCACTTTCCTGTGTTTTTAATTCAAAGCCTCTAGTTCCAGACAACTCTGGGGGATGCTAGTTCTCAGCCCTGTCCCTTCCAGGGTAGAGACGGCCCATGACCATGTACAAAAATTCGTTAAGTGGGCCCCCCTGCAAAAATTATTGGCCACCCCAGGTATAATCAGTAAGTTAATGGAGGAACTGTCCTAGTAACAGACGCTTTCATACAAGCAAGCAGCATACTGAATAATACTAATTATTAATATCTCACATGTCCCTAACTCAGTAAGAATCAGTAGGTTAGTCGTCATCCAAATGGATAAAGGTAATCCTGTTATAACGAAATGAGCATTACTATATGGAGGATTTTTACCTTCGAGTGCATTTCAGCATTCTTGTACAGGCTTTCAGAAATTCTAGGTTTTTTATTTTCTAGCATAGTTTGTAGAAACGTTTGTGATATAATTTTTTAAAAATGGATGGTCCTGGTACATTAGCTGGCCTGCAGGAAGGGAGTGTTTCTTTGTTTTGTTTCACTCAAAAATTCAATATTATCCAAAGGAATTCACCCTGAAAAGTAGAAAACTGCCTAATGAACAAGTAGAACCTTATACTCAGGGTTTGTGCCTCTATTAAGGAGACATATTTTTGAGTACTTATCAAGGTTACGACTAGAAAGTAAGAAATAAATGCTTTTAAAAGCTCTCATGTTATAGAAGCAGATACCAAATGGACGGAGAGGCAACACTGCTTAAACAAAAGCTTCCTAAATTTTGCTTCAACAGGGAACAAATACAGCAGTTGTTTTACCAGTGATAACAAACTTCATTTTCATTTTCAAACAACACATAAAAAGCTCAAATCTCCTCCATTTACAGACCTGTAAATCAGCTGAAGTCAATGGTTTTATAGTAGGGTGGAAGTGGAATATGCAAGTACAGAATTAGACTTGTGCTTCTTTGAAACAGCAGCAATGAAAAGGGACTGAAATGGTCAAGTGAAAATCCTGTGTGGACTTCTCTGTAAAGCTGGTTCATATTAGCAAGCCCAGTGAATTTCAATAAAGGCAATCAACGGGGACTACTCACAGAATGTGTCAATCAAACTGGCATCAGAGCATAAGTCCCTCCAAAGACCCAGCCTGCATTGGAAGCAACATCTTTGTATTCGTGTTCTATCTGCACCCCTTAAAAAACAATTTGTGGAGCTCATCATCTCAGCATGGGGCATGCAGGCTTATGCCAAGGCAGAGACTAGGGATACTGAGTAATACAAGTAGACTGCAAGCTTCCTTCGGCAGAAGCTTTTCCAGAAGAGATCTGCCAGAAAAACTTTTTTTCAAGAGCGTGTACACAGCAAAAGCGCAATGAAAAAATGATGTACTTTTTTGAAAGATAGCGTCCACATTGATTGGATGCTATCTTGCGTTTCAGTTGCGATTACTGGGGATGGAGTGGCCATCAGTGCACCTGTTCTTTTTTCTGGAGGCTTCTTCTTTCGAAAAAACACTCTGTTGCGTCCACACACGCCTTTTTCCGAAAAAGCTTTTTTGGAAAAAAGGCTTCTTCCTCATAGAAAGAGGTTTAATGCTGTCGGAAAACCCCCTCTGTTCTTTTGACTTTCTATCGAAAGAACTCAATAGCAGTGTGGACGTAAGTGTAGTTTTTCTGGAAAAACGGCCGTTTTTCTGGAAAAGCTATGCAGTGTAGACATACCCTGAGTGTACTAAATTTGTACACTGGACATTTTTTAGGACTTCCAGGTAAAGCAGCTGCCTTGTTTCTTGTGAGCCAATATAAAAACTAGGAGGCTGTGACTGTAAATAATAAATAATGGGCATCGTTCCGCAAATCATAACTCGTGAGCAATTTCTCGACATCAATGAGGCTATTCGTCTGCCTAAAGATTACTTGTCTGAGTGAAGATTTGGAGGAACAGGCTTTGAATACTTACTAAATTCTCAAGGTTTAAGGAGATTGGAGCTTGATGAATTCTGAACTTGTTTTCTTACTCTCTGTAAAATGCCTGTCTATCTCAGTGGGCATCAAGCAAATACATTCAAAATATTGTAGAAGGCAGTTATTCCTCCATGAAAACTAGTTAAATGAGGCAATCTACTTTCTCTGGCATGCTGTCAGTTTCAAACTGAACCACACACAATTCATTTTCTCTATTTTTGGACATGTTCATGCATTATGAATATCTGGCAACAGGTATCCAAAAAGGCTATGTCTACACTACAGCAGCACAGCTGGACTCACGTAGCTGCATTGCTGCAGCACTTCTGGTAAAGAGTCTCAAAGGCAAGAAGAGACAATTTTCCCATCGGCTTACTAACTCCTGCCTGCATATGAGAGAGTAGCTGTGTTTGTGGACTGCCTGCATATGAGAGAGTAGCTGTGTCTGTGGAAAGAAGCTTTCACTGAAGTAGTACTGCCCATGCTGGCATTTAGGTTGGAGCAACTTGCGTAGCTCATGGTGTAGATTATTCATACTTGTGTGATGTAAGTTATACTGAAGTAATTTGTAGTGCAGACATGCCTGAGTTTTCCTTTGGGACCCAAACGGGCATTGCTAGGGTACAAGAAAGAACTTAAGGAGCAGGATTTTGACTTTATCTGCCTGATGGCAACGCGAGGTGGTTTGGGCACTCGCCCGAGATTCATGTACAATTCCCTACCCTGCCACATTCTTCCAGTGTGACACCAAGCAAGTCAGAGTCTCTGTGCCTCAGTTCCCCTTATGACAAATAATGAAAACAAATCTTCCATAGCTCAAAGAGATGCTTGGAGATTCAGCTGTTAAAAGATTCTGAGGAGCTATGATATTGCAGTAATGGGGGCCATGTTAGTACCTAGGATAGTTAGATATTTGTAAACCGCCTAGAAAGCTAAAAATGGCTATGGGGATAAATCTTATAATCTGAAGTGTGTGTGTGTGTGTGTGTGTGTGTGTGTGTTAAAAACAAAAATCTTGTTTATGGTAAGAGCATTAGGGAGGCCATGGTATATTACCTCTTTCATTTATTTTCTTACTAACTCATATGCAAAGTGTCACTTGTACCAAACATATGTCATCACTTAATGTGGTCCAGTCTCATCCATGCATCTACTTACATCAGGCCTGACTTTAGTACTAGATGTTTATCCTAGGTACAAGTATCTACACTTCCATTACTGGGGTTTGTCTATTCCTGAAAACAAAGTATCTACACTTTGGTTACTGGGATTTGTCTATTCCTGAAGGCAATCACATTACTAGGAAAACAATTATACACCTGGGAATAAATATTTTGAAAACATTGTATTTAGATCACATTTAAATTCTTGCCAATCTATTATATATTTTGTTTGTGGATTTGAAGTCATACTTCATACTTCATGATTACCTGAAGATACCAAACTTTGCGTAAACAAATCCTGCCACTTAAGTTAGCTGAATGCACTACTTTTTACATTGGAATACACTGGATAAAAGGTTTAAATAAAAATTACAGTAGATCTCATTGTTTTATCTTTTTTTTAATCATGTTGAACAGCACAGGTCCTGGTACAAGATTTGAGCACTATTTTACCTCCTGTCATTATGAAACTTGGTCATTTATTCTTACCATTCGTTTCAGAGCTTTTAACAGTTTTCTGTTCCACAAGAGGAACTTCCCTCTTATCCCATGACTGCCTACTTTGCTTAAGAGCCTTTGGTGTGGGAACTTGTCAGAGGCTTTCAGAAAATCCAAGTGCACTGTACCCTCTGGATCACCCTTGTCCACATGTTTGTTTGCTCTCAGAATTCTAATAGGTTTATGAAAGGGAATTGTGTCTCAGCAAACTTATGTTGACT